TATATATATATATATAAGACCGGGTCAATGCTCCGGGTCGACCGGGTCAAGTTCGGTCGGTCGGGTTTTGACCGGGTCCATTATCATCCGGTACAAAAAATAATATATGAACCATCGCAGATTTTTTGCCGCATGATCATAAATGGCGGAATGTTAAAAGTGCTTTCAATGGTAAGAGAGAAGTGCTTTCAATAGTAAAAGAAAATTGAGTAATAAGTCAGTTCCTTTGATGGGGGACGATGTGGTTGAGCAATTAAAACTTGTCCAACCAGTAACTTTCGAAAAGACTCAACCAAAGAAGATAAAACGTGACGAGTAACTAAATTGGAAAAAATCTTGCATTTTTGTTCGGCTACCATATTGGAGAACTTTTGCATTCCGACATAACTTAGATGTTATGCACATAGAAGAAAGTGTTTGTGATAATGTTCTTGACACGTTACTAAACATAGATGGTAAGACGAAGGATAATATTAAAGTTAGATTATATTTGCAAGAGTTGGGCATAAGGAAACAACTACATCAAAAATTGGTGGGAAATTCTAATTTGATGCCACCTGCATGCTATACATTGTCCAAAGTCGAAAAAAGAAAGATGTGTGATTTTTTTGCTTATGTGAAGTAGCCGGATTCGTATGCTGCAAGTTTGTCAAAGCGTGTCAACATAACAGAGTGTCGGATCATAGGTATGAAAACTCATGATTGCCACGTTATCTTGCAAGAATTGCTACCTCTTTCGGTTTGTGGGTTGTTAAATAATGATGTAGGTGAAGCATTGAGTGATCTTAGCAGTATCTTCAAAAAAATATGTTCAAAATCATTAAAGATATATGACTTCGAATATCTTGAAGATCAAATTGCGCTGACCTCTATGCAAGTTAGAGGATATTTTTCCGCCTTTCTTTGATGTTATGGTTCATTTGCCTATCCATTTACCACGAGAGGCTAGACTTGGAGGGCCAATACATTATCGTTGGATGTATCATATAGAAAGGTATGACAAGTTCCTTTCAAACTTTAAGATAATATCGTAAATAAAAATATATTTATTTATCTTTTTCTTACTCGTTATTTTATAGGTATTTGTATATACTGAAGCAATATGTAGGTAGTAAATATTTTCCTGAAGGAACGATGGCTGAGGGCTTTATTATTGAATAATGTCTAACTTTTTGCTCAATGTATTTGAATGATATCGAGACAAAATTTAGTACAGTTGAACGTAATTATGAAAATTGCAAAAAAAAAAAAATATTATGAGGGAGCATTATCTATGTTCTCTGAAAGCTCGCGGCTTATTGGGAGAGGTGAATACAAGTTTCTCGATGAAAGTGCCAGAAAATAGGAGCATGCATATATTTTGAAGAATTGTGACAAAGTATTACCATTTATCAGGTAGATATATTCATTTAAGCCATTTCGGTTCTTCATTTAATAGATATATATACATATATTTATGTATATTAAATTCGTGTATCTTATGTAAAATGAAGGGATTGAACGTAAGTTTTTCTTTTTATTTTTTACTTAGGTTCATAGTATATTCCATGCGATCTATATACATTTAGTTTTTATTTGTTTTGTAACTAATATCTTGAAAAAGTAAAATTAGCACCTTATTTAGATTTTCTTTTAGTGAACACAAGAAAGTGCTAGAAAGTAATGGCTATCGTGTGGAACGAGAGCTTCAGGAGACTGGCAAGGCATGCGTGGGTGCAGCAAGCACAACGCGCGACACGTGCGTGAAGGGCACCGCGAACATTGCGGGCGACAGTGGGTCGCGAGAACCCTGGGCGAGCTCAAACACGCGCGATGAGGCGGCGAGCGCCACCCAATGATCACGCGAAGCTACCCGAGAGCAGGGCCGGCCCTGGCCCAGGGCAACCTGGGCTACGGCCCAGGGCCCAAGCCAAGACCGCATTCAAAAGGGGCCTCTAATATTTGTATATTTAGTTTGTCCAACTCTTAAACCCAATTAAGAGAACTCAGCCCAAATCACATTCCAATATTAATTGCAAATTGTAAATTGAAAAAATAAAGCAACTAAATCCTTTACAAACATTGTATGGGTTTCCACAAAAATTAATTGCGCACTAATTAAAGTTTACCTTTTAATGAAATTCCAAATAAGAACCTATCAATCCATTCAATTCAATCAATTCGATCTTTGTTCCTATTCTTATCCATTTTTGCGTATCTTTATAATTTATGTAATACAATCATTATTTATTATAATTAATTAATAAGCGATTAAATAAAAAATTATTAATAAAGTATAAAATGATATGATTTGTTACACAATAAAAATGCATTAAATAAATACGAGAGTTAAATTTCTCCAAAAAAATTATAAGAATTATATAAATGATATATTATATTTATATATAGTCATATAACTTTATGTAAATAATGATGTTCACACTAACTTATGATGAGGTCCATTTAATTTCTTTTATAACTTATTTAATTACCTTATCAACTTCTAGCATTGAAATGTGTTTTATTTGGTATGATGAGTTTTTAAAAAAAGTTCAAATTATCTCATATACTTATCTAGTTAAAGTGAAAATATTTTATATTAGCTCACTTATAAGCTAATTGTACAACATTTTTTTATAACACACTATGAAATTACGCACGCATTTCATTATTCCGTAGCATTTATATTATGCAACGTATTAATTCATCCCAAAAATGCTCAATGCATGGGCCGGCAGTTGGATTACTTGGACTAAAATTCAACTGAAAACAATGTAGTTGTTGAATGGTGTAATCTATATAAATTTCTATCATTTTGAATGATAACATAAGGGCATTATTTTTCATACTTGGCACAGGGCCTCAGAAAAGTCAGGACCGGCTCTGCCCGAGAGACCCACCGGCAAACGCGGAGCTACCCGTCACTGGACAGGACGCGCCGGCGGACGCGGAGCTACCCGAGAGGACCCACGTTGGGCGCAGACAGCCAACTGGTCGGGACAACTCGGGGAGCAAGTCTTCCAGAAGATTTGGCTGATCTTTAGAGACTTCTTATTATTATTGGCTGATCTTTAGAGACTTCTTATTATTCCTAGATTATGTTTCCTTGTTATATATTGTTATTTATCTCTAGTTTGTTAGGTGTTTGGATTATTTGACATGTGCCAAATTATTTATTTCTTTAGGACTTAAGGTATTTTATTTCCTCTTCGAATTAGTATTCCTCATAGGTTTAGTAATTTTTTCTCTTTAACTTATTTATGTATTCATCTCAATTTCGTAATTCTAGTTAATACAAAAATTGATCGTTTGAACAAATCTCTCGTGTGCTTAACAAAGGCCGTCAATGCGTTGTTTTCACAAACTATGTAGAAGGAAGGCCGTTTGTACGCCCTTCTACACAATCCATCGTGAAGATTGAAGACCGTTAGCACGCCCTTCAACACAAGTCAAGGTATCGAGATACACAATCTTCATTACGGCGCCTAAATGAGCCTAGGCGGGCTCGACAATTTTTTTTTTTTAAATACTAATTACATTATTTTGTTATCATGTCTTCTTCATAATATATTAATATTATTATGTGGACTTAGGTGTGTTGATTATTATAATTTGAGATAATTTTATTTTGTAGGTAATCTATATATATATTAAAAGCTAAACTATTTACCAAAAATAGTAAGAAGAAAAGTCAACACACATTTAATGCAAACCTTATTTAGAAATTTTTTACTATATGCATTAAATGCTTGCATTAAATTTTTTTACTATATGCATTAAAGTCAACACACATTTATTTTTTATTATATGCATTAAATGCTTGCATTAAATTTTTTTGACCTTTATTTAATTATATAAGACTAATATTTTTTTAAAAAAATTAATATTATTTATCATTTAAAAGATAATGATCTCATCATTAAATGATTTTATTGATGGGTAGATAATAAAATTATATTAGTTATTCTTTAAAATTTCGACATGTTATTTATTTGTATATTATTGTCAACTATGATATAGTTTTTATCACTTTTTTTTGTTATGTTT